TTAGAGCATATTTTTGGTGGTAGATATAAAAACAATCCTGATAGCATTTCATCGTGAGACTTCAATAACTGCTTTGATGAGTTTTTCAAAACAAACATTTTTTTACTGCATAAATTTCAGATTTATTGAAAAGGTGTAAAAATCATCAAATTTCATCACTCAAACAAGTAGTCCCAGTACAATAGAGATTGATGCCATTAACTTGAATGCGGTATTGTTTGTTAAAGAAAATGTCTATGAATCAGAGTTATGAAAAAAGGGATGACAAAGTATTAAAAATATTGAGAAATCAACGAACTATCATATAGGGGAATTTACGTATTCTCGGCAACCTAAGCAGCGACGTTCTTTCTATAGCCTTTTTCTCTAAGGAACGCACACATATGCAGTATTGGTTTGTTTAAAATCTTTTGCTGCCAGCTGCTCTAACAATTTCAGTCGAAAGAATTGTCAAAAACTGTTTTGAAACGCTTTTACAAAGCTCCAATCTTCTCTAGTGAGAGCGAGTATTGTTGGCAACCAGTTTTTCTTCGGCAACCGTTCCATTTGAACTGCATGTAAATCTGCTGTTCTATTATCGGCAACTCGAAATCAGCTACAATTTTTAGAGCGTGTGTTTCATTTCAAGAAAACCCTGCTAGATTGCTTTTTCTCAGTGGTAAAAATATAGTCAAATTGAAGCTGAAAGCATAAAGAATCGTTTGCATGCATTCAGCGAAGTGTTTTCGTAAGAAAATCCATTGAAAATAGTGTTTCAATTTGTGTTGCCGAAAATAGTCTGTCATGCCGAAGCCGTCATTTCCCCTATTTATATTTTATTTCGTTATGGTTATTTTGTGGTGAACAGTCAATAAAAACGGCTGGATTTTGCATTTCGTACGAAAAAAAAAACTGTCTGCTTTTTTATGTATTGCTGTGTTGGTTTTCCGAAAATAGAATTTTTTTATGATAATTGGACATCATAGAATATGAATGTTGAAATTCCCAAATATGTTTTTCTCCAATTTTTGTACTAAGGCACCGTCATAGTTGATTAATTCGAACATCAAGATCAAACAATACTTGCATACTTCATTTAACTTCTTGAAATTCAACCCTACATAGAGCAAGAATGCCACTCCTACATTAATAAATAAGTTTAAAAAAAATCGTGCATCCGGCATAATTTTGGAATTTCAATCTCCGAAAGTTTGTTTATAAATAGTTTTCATTTCGGTGGCACCCTTGTTCCATCTGGCCCTATATTCCACGGCCCTATGTAATAATAAGTAACGAAAAATCACCCTTTCCCCACATACGTTACATAATTTGTAATGCAAATAACAATAGATTATTTTATATTTCTTTTTCAGTTTTGAAAATAATTGTTTCTGTACTTACCCAAATGAATAATTTCAACATTTTCATTCTCATCCATGCATTGTGCGTTTATTTCAAAAATGTGGCAACCCCGACGTGACACTGAATCTATTTTCAGGTTCAACTGTCGCCCCTTTGCACGCTTACTAATAAGTTGTTTTATTTCCATTACCCCTTTATCAACGAACCCAGGTATTCGCCTTGACACCAGTCCCGAAGTGACGTTTCTTCACACACATTTTGACAGTTCCTTATGGGGTTTTGCGTTGGAGTGAGAGAATAAGAAAAAGTCCGCCATGTTTCACACATAGACTGACAGATACATATGAGATTTCTCCATAGGAGTAAAGAGTTACAGAGCTCTCATCAACGCCAATAACTACTTCAACGAACAGGTAGACTCACTCTGACTCAATTTGTCTCTATCAACAATCAGCACAGTCTGACTCAGACCTCGAGTTAGATGCATGGTGAATCAGAACGACTAAGCTCAATTACTGAGAGAGAGAATGTCTGGTTAGATGAACACATTCTCAGCATTTGTCTGTTCTCCCGCTGAGTTGAGTCGGAATATTTTTGTTATTGCCTCTGTCCTATTCGTATTGAGAGCCTGGTTGGAAAATGAACATTGTGAGTTGTATCTCTCAAATACTGGTACTGAGTTTTCATTGATGCGAAAATTTGCAACATTGCTTTTCTTGTATCTAACAAGTACCTACAAAATATCATTATAACATATAACATATAATGATTTCTAAATTCAGAAAATCGTTTTTTTATATGAAGTGAGTGGAAGCAACCCTGCTTACCGAAGGATTTAGTAATAATTAACCCATTTTTTTATAATTAGTAAACATCGTGTAGTTTATCAACGACTTAATGAATGAAATGTTAAAAGAATCAGAATGGGGGCTTTGAATTTACCTGCTTGTTGTTTTGGATAATATAATGCAATTTATTATAATTGCATGGAAAATAGCCAAAAGCTGTACATGCTTTGGAAAGTGAAGCAAAATCAATCTTGACATTTCAACCGCCCGTAAAAAAAAGAACCGTAGAGGTACAATGGAATGTATTGTAACCATAATAGAGTTTATGGTATTTACAATAAATCGTATTCTCGACAACGATAAAATAACAATAGAATGTATTGTTTCTACAATAGAATCTATGGTAAACGGGGGAATATACAATAGATTAAGGGGGTCGTTATGTATCTTAACCATACGAAAAATCACTTTTTCTCGAACAAACTTGAACCATTTACCATTAATTGTATTGTTGTTCTATTGTTGAAAACTCTTACTATATGGGACCTATTGTACATCTATTGTAATAACAATATGTTAAAACTTCGTGTACTATATACACACAATAAGATCGATTGTTGGCAATAGATTTACGTGTAACTGTATTTTATTTTATGGTAATTGTATGGTTATTTTTTTCCGGGCGGTGGACCATCAAAAGGGTTTTAGACCGAAAAAAGAAAGGACAACTATCCGCGAAGGTGACCACAGACCATGTCATATATTTAACTTTTGAGTAGTTCCACACAGATTCGCAAGTCGTTTAGGATCGATGTTTTTAGAATTACTTGTTATATTACACAGCTGTTTATTACTGTCCAACTTATTTTACAGTAATTCGTAATGTAGCTTAGCAAAGCATTTGATGCAATAATATTGAATGTAAGCTGTTTTGTAATTGTTTTTGACGGAAATGGGTCACATATACCGATGTAGTGCTGCGCCCTATAGCGGAAGGAATGAACCATAAAAATATTATTTCAATATAATTTTATCATGAAAATAGCATTTTTTTTTTTAAATCGAACTTTGTGTTCGGATAAGGGCATAGACGGAGAACATACCCCTTAACCCTTTAGTCTCGCATCCAATCACACACTAAGATTTTTGACGTAGGACTACGTCTGTGATTCCTATATAGGGGTACACTTTGTGAAAACCGAAAATGGAACATGTAGCGAAATTATGAAAGATTTCAAACGTTGATAACTCAGCTGCCCCTTAACCAATTTCAATAACTTTATCACCAACCGATCAGAAATATTTCTACGCTTCTGCTAAAATTCATTTTATTCAAAATGTCACTGCTGAAAATTGCACGAATGTGCAACTTTAGCTCTAGCTATGATAATTAAAATTATCACCGATTGCCTGCGAAAAGCGATTTCCTTAACACAGATTTCAAATTTGAATTCCATCCGGTCTCACTAAACGGTGTTTATTCCATCACCGCGTGGTGAGTGGTAGTGTTCCCCAGTACACAACGAAAGGCTCCCCGCAAGCAGCTAGCTATCAAGGCTGCCCTCAACCGCTGATCGGATTCAGTTCCAATCACCGTGAGTGGTGTTGTCCGATCGTCGACATCAACAGCAGCGACATCAACATTGTTCTCGAGTACACAACGTAAGGCTGCCTGCAAGCAGCGAGCTGCAGCTCACATGAGCATCCACATAAGGAGGAAGAAGACGCACCGCTATTGATCAGAATCAGTAGCTCTTCGTGAGTCGCTGTAGGCCATCTATGCCAAGCGCGTCATACTAAAGAGTATAAACAGAGAGAACCCCGCTCAAATTCCTATTCCTACACAAAACACAAGCTCCTGCTGCAGTTAACAAATAACATTTATTATATAAGACCACGTAGTCCTACGTGGGGCCTCCCTTAGCTCAGTCGGAAAAGGCGCAGCTACAAAGCAAGACCATGCTGGGGGTGGCTGGGTTCGATTCCCGGTTCGGTCTAGAAATTGTTCGGGTTGGAAAATTTCTCGACTTCCCTGGGCATAGAGTATGATTGTACTTGCCAAACAATTATACTAATGCAAAAATGGTGCAGGCATCGAGAGCTCTCAATAAGCTAATTTGCGATAAGCAATAAGCTTGACATGCGAGGAAGAAGAAGACCATTGCGTACAACCCCATAGAGCTGTCTCTTGAAGTTTTGTATATTATACTGTAAGTTTTTTGACGAATATGGAACAGTTGAACATTCGGTAATCTATTCGGAAATTTTATTATTTTCAATCCGTACGTACGGAGAATAACCCACCTTCACGGTAGGGGAAACGCTCCTATAGTTGCGGTTCGTTAGAAGCGTTAGGTTCGTAGACTCAATACACAACTATAGGAACATAACGCTTCTAACGTACCGCAACTATAGGAGCGTTTACCCTACATATTTTTCCAATTTGGCTCCGAAGTTCTTGGGTTCAATTTTTTCGGTGACATCAAATTTCTGGCATTTTTAGATTTCACCCTGATTATTGTATTTTACAGTTGAAACTGGACTCCCCCAAAGGAACGAAATCCTAAATTTTAGTGTGTTTTGTTTGACAATATATCCGACGATAAAATAGATCGTCCCGACCGCTCGAAGAACGCAGGCGCCTTAAAGTAGATCCCAAAAACAAACCGGCATGGTTAGCTGCAGTTACACTGTATTGGTAATCAACAAACCATGTGCCTTTCGCTATCAACAAACGTTAAACCTATACCTACAAACGGTTTGCTTTCTGCAGCAATGTTTGTTATGGAATCATTTTATTATGATAAAGCTCAAGATGACGTTTTTTTCTCTGGAGTATACCTCAACTTTGTGTATGTGTGGATGAATTGACATATAGATATCAAACGAGATCTAAGGCTGCAGAATCGATAGTCAGGTTTAGTTTATCACTCATTATAGAAAGCGGTAAGTAAGAATGGGGTTTCAATTAAATTACTCATTGTAATTGTTATATTGATATGATTTAATGAGCTTTAGGCATCACCATACCATGTCTTCGCCACTAGTGTATCTTACGAGAAAGGAGTGCTTCAGTGCTTGTCATCGTTTGCATAGGTACGTTCGCAACGGTAATAAAACCACTAGTTGCATTCTAGTTTCTAAAAATCTAAATTTCGCAGCCCATTCCTGAGCGAGGAAGCCAACCGACAGGTGTACGGAAAGTGCAACAACCCGAATGGACACGGCCACAATTACACGGGTAGGTTATTCGGCAAAACAATCGAAAGTTAATTGGATGATTGCTGTCAATTGCCAAGCCTGATCGTAATTTAATGCAACTTACAGTCGAAGTCACCGTGCGGGGTCCAGTAGATCCGAAGACGGGTATGGTGCTGAACATTACGGATTTGAAGCAGTACATGGACCAGACGATTATGAAGAAATTGGACCATCTCAACTTGGACAAGGACGTTCCGTATTTCAAGAACCTGGTAAGCTTTTGCACGAACTTCAGCAAAACTTCAAAACTCATCTACAAAATAAATGTCGTTACAGGCCAGCACAACGGAAAATGTGGCCATCTTCATCTGGGATAGCCTAAGGCTGATCATGCCCAAGCCGGAACTGCTGTACGAAGTCAAGATTTACGAAACGGACAAAAATTCGGTCGTCTATCGTGGTCAGAAATTCGATGCACACTTTCATTATCGCAAAAATGACCTGGCATCCACCGAAAACGTATGCTCGTCGAATCTATCGTCGGATTCGGATAGCTAGGCTAGAAGGATGGTGAATATCCCAGCTGACACACGAAATCTAGTATTTTGCAACTGTGCTGTTTCGACTTCGACACTTGAACGTTGTTTGGCCGATGTCGTTGGATACAACCAACGATGCCATATTTACAGGCTTCTGTACACGAAAAAAGTGGTCAACCTGTTTTAATTTTATCCATAAAATATCAAATCAAATATTTCGTGAAACTACGATTCATGCAATAATTAGTTAATGTTTCGAACTATTTTTCTAACGAAACAGATTAAAAAAAATCGTTATTTAAATTAAAGTTACAAGGGTTCAAAAAGATGGTGTCAACTTTTTTCGTGTACAAATGACTGTAAATCTGGCATCGTTGGATGCAACGTAGAGGATATTGATGCATAAAGAACCGCGGATTACATGACATCGATTTTTGCGTTATATACTATAAAGGCATGTATTTTATTAGAATGTCGAAATAAATGTGAACTGACTTTCGTATTATTTGTGCGGTAACGTCAAACGGGGTAACTTGCGACACTTTTCAGTCTTCTCTCTTAAAAACTTGTCAAAAATTTGTTTGTTTTAGTCAGTGCTGAGATTTGTCATTGTCATTGACAGAATTTCGCGCGATATTGACAAAATTGTATTTCAGACAGACTTGATCCTCAAAAAAGCCTTCGTCAAAATCTCATTCATTTTTTTATCAATGGAAAACATTCACCTGGTAACAAAAAGCACAAAAACGTCACTTCTGATCGAAATCACGTCTGAAATATAATTATAGAGGAAAATTACGTCTTTCGGGGAAAATGGCATTTTTTAATAATGTTGAGTAAAAATCCCAAAAAAGTGTTAAAAACTCAAATATCGCAAAAAGGAGAAATGGATGTTATTTCGGCCTAAACGCCCCTAATTTGGGCTCATACATAAATTCAGCAATCGACCAAATTTTCAATGGCGACCAAATATATCTATTAGTACCGTCCCAATGACGCGTTCATCTTGATAAAATTGATAAATATCTGATTTTTAGCGATGGGCCCAATCTTAGATCCATAGGCCAACATTAGAGCCATTTCCCCTATCTTTAGTTTTTATATTTAAAAAAAAACTCATGACAAATTTAAACTTTTGGTATATGGACACTTAAAAATTGACAAAAATCGTTAAACAAGAAGTTTTGGTCAAATGTTTGAACTTTTTGTTAGCACGCTTTTTAATGCAATTTGTACACAGGAAGCAATATTGCCAATTCAGATAAAAATTAGCATTTGGCATCAGATTTAACAACCGGCACTGACAGCTGCTTTGGGAATTTCGAGCACTGAACCAAAAGCTTTCCTTGAAGATCTTGTCCGCATGACAACGCATAAAACATTACAAATCAATAACAAGTCAGATGTGTGAAAATCCGCCGATATTAATTATGGGCAAATCACCTACGACGCAGCTAATAAATCAGGCATAACATTTGATAACGGCACAAAAGCATTTGTAAACAAACTTTCTAAGGCCCTTTACACGCGAACCAAAGTACGCTCACGCAAACCAACAGCATAATCGGATAGGGGCAACTATCACCTTTCCGAAAGTGGTATTGGTTTGCGTGGGCGTACTTTGGTTAGCGTGTAAAGGGCCATCCATCTCATATCTTCCCTCACCTTCGGTATAAAAGTTATACAAGTTTTTTTTAACGATAATTAATGATAATGAATTACTGAATGCTGTCAGTTTTAATTTTACCAACATCATGCCGCCACCCACCTTTCTATTCTTTGGTACAAACAACGTAAATATTTACCTTTTTTGATAAAACCCAGGTAGTCATGACGTTTGATTATTGAAAACAATATGAATGAAGAAACGAGACCAACTGCTGTCATGATTACCTTAGATTTGTCAAATAATGTAAATATTTACATCGATTTTATCGAAGAATTGGCATAATGTTAATAAAAATGAGAATGCCTCGTGTTCTGCGGCCGTGTCGGCCATCGACCTGAAGTATTCGTCAACGTTTCTGACTAACTCTTCGTAACAATCCGGCCGGGATAAGCTGGAACGAAACTTTGCCTCTCGAACGATGTTTGCAGCTGCTCCCTCATGGAGAAGAAAAGTAACTGCGTTTTGCGCACTGGGTCCCGAGCATTGCTGAGGGAGAGGGCAATCTCGAAATTCTCAATATAAAAATTCCAAGCCTCCCACATCTAGTTTGAAGGGATGTCTTTTGGAAAAGGTTTAATGTTTTCCCAACGACCGCTGCATGATCCATACTCGACTGCAGAGGATATCGGTGCATTTCAAGTCCGCATCGCGTTGAACAGTGCCTAATGCAGGACCGTTTGATCGTTTGGTGTTTATTAAATTTTGTCTTATCTTATTTTGTTACTGAATTAAACCTGTCCTTGTTTAGCCACGACGATGTATGGAAAATTATGAACCTTATTATTAAGACTAATTCAAGTTCCAACACAGGGACCTGATGACTGTTGCTTAATCCTATCAACTTACGATAGGTTCAATATGTATTCTAAGTTTGAAAATATTAGGCTTTCGGACAAAATGACTACCAATACAAAATCCCAAAGTTACTCAATTAATTTAATTTATCTAATCATAAACGCAATATTTTATTAAAATCTCTTTCTAACACTAGTAATAACAAATAATATAAATTGACGATCAACCAATACTTAAAGCTTATAGCAAACAAAACTAGCAGATTCAAAATTTCGATCACCTTTTAAGTTAATGAGACAAACTGTTTGGAACAAGTACGAAAACTTTGTTGCAGCTTCAACAACAACAAAAATTTTCTAGTAAACTAACCTGCTACTGCTACTCAAATAATAATTGTAAACGCGATTTCATAAACAAATGTAGAACCGCATTTACTGTACCCGGCTATCTACACATTTAAAGACTATATTTTTGGCGTTATGACACAATGTTCTAGTGGGTAATGAGAATTTCCATTTCCATTTCAATTCTCATTGCTGCTTTGTACTTTCTTCTTACCTATGATGGTTACTCTCTTTCAAATATGTACTATCTTGCCTTATCTTGCTTGCTGCTATTAACACAGATCATTCAGTTAAACCATACACCGTTCAACTTAGTCCTTAGTCTAAATGTGATCGTTCAATTTCTTGTAGCAACTAACCGAAACGTATGGTACACCCAGCTCGAAATTATTGGAAGGCCAATACTTGAGCTGCGGTCGACTTTCCGGTCTTTCGTCGCTGACGAAAAAGTACGCAAACAGTACACACGCCGTGTACGCCGAAATGAAGATCAGAATGTGCCAGAAACCGTGCAGATAGGGGAAGCTCAACCGCGACCACGCGTCGCAGAACATTCGATCGTTGATCCAGCACACGATGGCCATCATCAGAATGGTGGTATTGCGGACACCCAATCGGTAGACCCGTTTGTCATGAACGCTACGGATGGATGCAAGGTTAAATAAAAACTTGTGGATTCCTCATGAACATGAAAACTTACATTTGTAGTTCCTTGTACATAAGATAGGTAGCCGGTATAGCCAATAGCATCAGAGCGAACGCATTAACGGCTGGATAGCACACGGACAAGGCCGTTGCCGAGAGGGAGAATACCGACATCGAGATGCAGAAGCGTTTCCTGCGAACAACAATAATCTCAGTTCAACTATGACTAAGTTGGATCTAATCCTAACTTTACCTGGACTGTTTGAATATACGTGGAAAGTGCCGCCGAGGACAGAACAGGCTCAACGTTGCCATAAAAACCCACAGGATAGTCAGCTCGTCCAGCAGCTGACCCAGTAAGCTAAGGGTGGCATGGAAGTAGGCGGAGCTCAAGCCAACAATAATCAACAGGACCCATATCATATGGATGGCCGGTTGGATAAACTTCCCATAGTCTTTGAACAGGTAGATCAGGAACGGAGGACCGACGAGGAAAAGGATGTTGCTTATCTGGAAAACGGATAGACGGGCATAGTATAATGAGATGAGTTCTATATAAGACTTGGCAAACACCAACATATCTGTAAAGGTCAACTAGACTACTGTGATAGAAGGCAATCGCCTGAACCTGCCGAAGAAGTCAGCCAACGTTTCAATTCGGAACTGGTATCAACGCTTTGCGCACCTTCCCCGAGACAAAGCGACGTATCCAGCTTCCAAGTAAGTCTCATCTCAGGGGCTAATAGCCCAGAAAGTAACGGGTACCAACCAACTGAGAACTCCCTTATGGAGGGATTCTGGCCGATCCCGAGATCCATATGCGAAACATTCATTCTGCCCACCAAAACTATCCTGTCGATGAACGCCCAGCGCAAGAGTGGTAAGAACGGGGACGACCTCGGGATAATGGTTAACATCCATTACCTCTCACGCCAAAGTCACGAGTTCAAATCTCATCCCGAACAAGTCACCAACGACCCAAATTCAAGGTTTGTTGTCATAATTTACACAACATCGCTATCCCAATATGCGTATCACAGCAAAACCCGGCCGACATCGTTTATCGTGGTCAACAAGCTGACGCCTTGGAAAACAACAGCCTTTGGTAGAATGGTTCTGAGTTCCTCCAAAGGTTAAATTACGACATCGACCCACCCGAAGAAGTTCCAGATGCGATACTATCAGTACATATAGCAGTGATTGTTCACACTTATGATTGCAATTCGGAACCGTTGAAACAGGACTTCAACTGACTGATAAAATTGGTACCAAATACGGACGGAGTTTATTGGTTATGGACATTTCAATATGATAAATTAATTATTCTTCGTTCCAACACTTAACATATATTCCGTTTTGCCGTAACTTGGACTGAACAGGCCAACTTGTATTTTCTACTGGAAAGCGTAAACCGCATACAAACAGACATAACGCATGGTGGACAGAATACCCGTATCAGTCAAGGATAAGCAGCTAAGGTTGATTTCTTTATTATAGAGATTTTCACCCATTGGCTGGTTCGCCTCTGAAAATAGAGTGTGGGTCTAGAAGGGACCTCATCTAGTTAAAGTTTATTTATCGTGTTAGGAGGTCTACAAGAGGCCTCCTCTAGTTAAGTACTGAAGCTGTCAATGTGATTTCTTTCTGTGGACTTTTGATTATTAAGTTTCTGAGGATTTTGCTTTTGTTTGAGATGTTGGGTGAGTTTGGCAGTTAGGGGAGTTTTCTCATCTTCGTGTGTCAGCCTTCACCTTTCTAAGAAATATGCTTGTTGATTGGGACCACGTATGTGACCATAAGTCCCAGATTTAGTTGGCTACCCATTTTTTAGGTCCCCCGCTGGAACCTCCTTGATAAAAAGTTTGGCTTGTCTTCCAAACGTCGCTGATGATATGCCTCCGTATTGCCACGAATGCCACAGTAACTAGGAATTCATACAAATGTAGTGTTTCTGGTGGCAAACCGCTGAATGGATTGGATCCATGGGTGCTTCGTACAGTCTGAGTTGAAGGATAGAACTACACTTGCGGAGTCCGTAAATACTGCAATCGGTTTGTTTGAGGGAGTGGTAGCAGCAATATATTGTACTGGTCTGGAAGTCGATGGAATACGGACATATGGGGGTTAGACTGATGCAAAATTTGACTTTTTCGCTCCACAGAGCTTAAATGGTTTCAAATCGGGTCCTGATTAGCCTCCCAAAGTTACAACTCATTTGGTTAGAAACAGACTTCGCACAAGCCATTTGAAGTTTACTTGTAAATTACTATGGGAAATCTCAACTTTTTGTTCATTGCCTTCTAATCTTTTTCCATATTGAGCTGCAAAACAGTTCGATAGCCATTCTTATAGAAAATTTTCTCAGCTACAGCTTTGCTCAAGATCGTTTCTATGTAAAACGAGACAGGAAAAAGTTATTAATTATTTAATTGATTAGTAAACTTATGACATGATCAAGCAGCTGCTCTGTAGGCAACACTGTATTTTGCAGTGTGACATAGTAGCCATGATTTTTGTGTCCTGTTTCTGGGGCGTTGAGAAACACCAATGTTGCCTGCTGAGCAGTTGATTGAGCATGATCATAAGACATCAGCGCATTGAACTATTGATAACTTTCGATCCTTGCATTTAATCAAAAAGTGGTCTTCAGCAAACTTGTAGCTGGGAAAATTTCCTACAAGTACAGTTGAAAGCTTTTGAAGCAGACAGATATGGTGAATTATTAGACAGACATGAACAAAAATCTTGGTTTTACCATAGTAATTCCCATACAAACTTCAAATGGTTTGTGCCATCTCAGTTTCTCACCAAAAGGGTTCAAATTTTGAGAGGTTAGTCAGGATCCGATTTGGAATCGTTTAAGTATTGAGGAGCGAAAATTTCAAATTTTGCATCACTCTAATGGGGGTCCGTGATGCCGATGCTAAGCTCTTCATGGGCAACTGATCCGTTGGAGTAACGAATAGTGTGTGAGCAACATGCAACATGTTTATCTGTGCGTAAACTCTATTGTTGGCTCATAAATACTCTTCATGTACAAAAGACTTATTTGTTCTACAGTAAATATCTTCATTCTTCATTCCTTTATTTAACGTCGGTCTCTGTTCCGCTATCTAGTGCCAATCACCGACGGACATCGATTGCCATCCATTGACGTCAATCGAATGTGCAGTAAGGCAGCTTCCACACCTGCGTAGGATATCGCACCCATTCAACACACATGGAGGCCGGGACGCCTTTACTTTCCTTAAGGAAGACGTGACCAGAGATTTTTATGCCTCAGAAAAATCCCACCGACCTCGGCTGGGATTGAACAAAGACCCATTGGGGTGAGAAAACAGTCACGCTTACCACTACACCACCGGAACCGGCTCTTCAGTAAATATAATGGACAATAGTAGTGACTTGGTCAGTATAATTTTGGACGTACAATTGAATGAAAAGTGCATGAAAATCTCGTTATGAAAATGAACTGTGTTCCAGTGTTGGGAAAATATCAAAAAATCAAATCTCACCAACGCCCAAGATCACGCTTGATTTTCGTAGACAAAAACCAACAAGCCAACAACTGCGGTTGATTTTGCAAGCTGTGATATCGCAGCTCAGAATATCAAGCTAACAAAACTCACCAACTGCAAATCTCACCAAACTGTGGAGAGATTGAGTTTAATGATTTTTGCTTTACACCCGAATGCAACCGAAACTTCCATAACGGCTTGCAGCAGTCCCTTCGCATCTGCCATCGGTGAATATTAAAAAGAGATCGTAAACTATGCTTTCTCTTTCTAAGAAAACGATATGCAATGGAATCATTTTTGTGTCGAGTTCACTCTCAACTTGATTTTCGAATAGTCTCGCAATATCAAAGGAGCTTGTAAAATCAATATCAAACATGATATTTTGTTCCAATATAACGCGTGATATTGCGAGCGCATGAGAGCAGAAAAATATCAATTGATTTCTGATTTTGCCAACACTGTGTGTTACAGATACAAAACAGTGTGACTTTACTGTGTACATCGATCAAATTTCTAATTATGCGGTAACAGCCATCGTCGCCGCAGCTGTAAGTATTAAACATTTCCCATTTTTCTCCAAATACAGTAGCTTCCGTAGGATCCAACGCGTTATGGGCTACCTCGTCCTGCGATTCATTGGCGACAATAAAAACGGTAGATATGTTTACCGAAATGGCACGCCTTTATCCGAAATGAACTAGCCTAATGGCCTGCGCATGTACATATTGCACGTACCTACCTCTTAGTTATTTCTTGACATCGATTTCTGCACTTGCCAATAAACTAAACAAACCCATTTTAGATACGAAGAATATGTTAATACATACGAAAAAAAATTGAATTGGTGTACAACCGTTCACCTCACCCGATATGCAAATAAGCTGCGATTTAAAGCTGCTACCAATTGACATGTTGATAAGCGCAGCGATGATAACAACCAGGAAGATTATTTGCAAGTTACATCTAAACAGTAGCGCAAATAGAGCAAGTGTCGTTCCTTTCAGCACAAACAGTTAAATGTACACATTGACGATGGTCGGCATCAGGAGTGTCTATTTACAAACCCGTGGACGTGTCAAATTACCAAAAAAAACAGAAAATATACAAATATAAGCGGGGGGATTTCCTGCCTGTTAGTTCGTTATTTTCACTGCTGGCCTGCACGCTAAACGATGTGTATAGGCCTGTGTTATTCGCATCAATTCTCCACACATCTGTTTCATTCGTTTAGCTGCGACATGCAATTCAATCTGGCAGGGTTATTATGCGCCATTATAGCAATTCGAAACGAGTTACATAAGATATTATGATGTCTAAACCCTTCTGCCACCGTTCTGCATTCTGACCTTGATTGTGGATAGGTAATTACTTTTCGAGCCAAAGCAGGTGCTATGTAAATCACAACCGTTTCGTAGCAATGAACAGGTTTTTTCCTCTTACCGTGTTAACGAATTCGGCAATATCCGGTGATATGAGGTAATTGCCTTCGCACCAATCTACAGGCGAACTGCCACGCTCCAAATGTTCCCAGGTCATCGGGGCTATCGCTGGATGTGGTTTCCTACCTTTCTGGGTCTACAATATCTAAAATGGAAATTATAACAAACAATTCCCACGGTCATCTACTCATACATATGAATAAGAACAAAGATACATTACGTTTTGTGTGACCTTCTTCCTTTCCTTAACTAGATGGATTGTGGTTGAAAATCTTCAAAATAGAAAACAATCAAATCAAAAAACCATGCTTAGACTTTTATTCTCCATTAATTAGTATTGTTCATTACCTGTCTGGGAAACCTGGCTCTGTAGATGATTTCAAAATCATGCAGAATATGCTCTCACTGATGGCTTTTCACGGGCGATTTTTTTTTTTTAGTTCAAAGCTGATTTAAATTCTGACTACATGTGTCAACTAAATCACAAGAAAACAGTAGTTTCTTGTAACTAGTGCAGTGAAAAATTCCAATTAACCGAAAAGAAGCATTCTTTCCACGACTAAGAACGAAAAGAAAATTTTACGGACTCCACGGGGCACGGGCTCCACTGCTCCACACACAGTGTTCAACAGCAGACGAACTTTACTTTGTTTTGAAGTTTGCTGTTCGCTCTCGTCGCTCTCGTCGCTCTCGCCCTCGAAGCCGATGTCCGGTGCGACTCTCACCTCTCGCCGCCACACGACGAGCAGATACGCTATTTTAAAACTAACCAAATTTAAGTAGTATCCACCCATATCGATTAACAGTGAAGCTACTAAAAAATGAGTAAACTAAGTAAGAATTAACCACTTCATTCGAGCACTTAAAATAACGTTTACTACCACTCAAACTTTGAAATAAAACAATATTTTGAGATTTTTTCTTCTAGAACCTCGAGAAAAGTAGCCAAAATTTGTGCGTTTCATAAAAAAATAGAAATTAGTTGGTCCAGTTTTGTGAAATCGCTGGTAGAAAGTCACGCCAAAACTGCTTGACAAAGTGGTCAATTAACCACTTAATTCAAGCAGATAAAATGACGTTTACTACACAGAAAAAAAATTGTTGAATATTACATCCAAACTGCTGCAACCAGGTCAATCCATAGGTTGTGTAAGATAACGTTACGATATACATCGATTTTGCGAACAAAATTACATCTATTGATGTAATATCATGTAATATCGAGTGTAATATTGTATCTGCTTTTTGCTATTACATCATTATTTCATACATCAGCTTGAATTACGTTGATCGATATTACATTTTTTTTTTTGCTGTGTACCACTCGAACTTTGATATGAAACATTATTTTGAGATTTTTTCTTCTAGAACCTCGAGAAAAGTAGCCAACATTTGTGCGTTTCATAAAAAAATATAAATTAGTTGGTCCAGTTTTGTGAAATCACTGGTAGAAAGTTACGCCAAAACTGCTTGACAAAGTGGTTAATTGACGAATTATAAAATTAACAACATCGATTGAATTCAGGTCGATGTTGTTCATATCAACGTAGTTTACTCATTTTGAGTAGCCTTTTGATCGATATCAGTAGATCCTACTCAAATTATAGTACGTTCAGACTACAGAGTTATAACATGTTATAGCGCTATCTTGATGGTGGTTTCTGTGTTGCAATTATTTGACAACCGTTATAACATGTTATAACTACTCAGTCTGGCCAGCGTTTAATAGTACGTTCAGACTACAGAGTTATAACATGTTATAGCGCTATCTTGATGGTGGTTTCTGTGTTGCAATTATTTGACAACCGTTATAACATGTTATAACTACTCAGTCTGGCCAGCGTTTAATAGTACAGAAACCACCATCAAGATAGCGCTATAACATGTTATAACTCTGTAGTCTGAACGTACTATCAGACTACAGAGTTATAACATGTTATAGCGCTATCTTGATGGTGGTTTCTGTGTTGCAATTATTTGACAACCGTTATAACATGTTATAACTGCTCAGTCTGGCCAGCGTTTAAGGCTCTGAACCATTTAGGCTGCGAACCAGGTGAACCATTTGCCGAGTTAAATTGCTAAATGGTTCAGAGCCTTAGTCACGGAACCAAATTTTGTCCATTTAAATCAAATATATATATGTTTATTATATAAAAATATGAACAGTTCAAAGTAAATTAAAAACATGTTTTCAACAAAAATATGTACGTTTGAATTAAATTCAAAAGCATGTTTATTTCAACAATACATAATCTGGGTAAACAGTTTTTAGCGTGTGATTTTTTCCTTCTTGTTTACATTCGGCAAACTCAACCGAAAACGGCCTGCAAGCGGCGAAACCAAAGACCGTTGGTCCGAAAACCCACGCAAGCATGTGTTCCAAGCTCGACAAAACCGGTGAAACCCAAGGGGGGGAGGTGGCTGTCAAATACGAATAATCGTCGCCTACCTCGCATAACTGGTTCCAAACGTAAACAAGCCATAAGAAACCTACAGCGTTTGTTTACGTTTGGAACCAGTTTCATACAAGATGATCAGTAGGCTGATTTGACAGCACGTCCCCCCAGGTGAAACCCCACAATATCAACGTCACTCCGTCGTTTCTGATACCGATCCCCATATCATCCTCACCCCCACCCGACGTCGAAAAAAAAACAACACCAAATGAGGACCAGCGTCAGAAACGACAAAACGACGCTAATATCACAAAGTTTTACCGGTTTTACTGAACTAGAATTAAAATTTTGCTTACAAAATGGAGTTAAGGCCATTTCAATTGTTGGTCTTGAGTTGTATCTTGAAGTTTAACGTTTGTTCATCTACTGAAAAATATAGTTGAACCAACCGAGGAGCCAACTATGGACTATAGTTGTTGCCCTCTATATATAGTCAAATCAACTATAGTTTCGGGTTATCTCTAAAACAATTGAACAATATAGTTATTTTGACCGGAAAAATAATTGCGTCTGCTACTCGGTCTGCTATAATTTGTTCTCCGTGCAGGAATCAATTTTTTCAAACACCTTCTCGAAAATAGGAAGATAAGGTGTTTGATCTTCCTATTTTCGAGAAGGTGTTTGTCAAAATTGATTCCTGTCTGTCAGAAATAAGTCTGGTACAATAGAGATTAGTGACGTTTAACGCACGCACACTAGCGGGTGGATCGCTGTGTAAAGTTGTTTATTATTTTCCTCTGGCTAACCTAAAAAATGTATGAAATTAGATCTGTCAAAATGAGTTTGACGGCGATTTGTTATGTATTTTCCTCGGATATTCACTAACACGCTCTCATATATCGTACCAATACAACTGGACGTGAAAATCTCTATAGCAGGTTTATTTGAAAATTTTCCATCTGTCAAATTTAAGTGAAAATTCACCATATGGAACACAGCCTAAACAATATCGAAGACAACAAATCAAGAAGACTGGCAACTTTGCCAGAATCCAAGCGACAGATACATTGGGCTCTGCGCTTGAGTGAAGATGGAAGCAACGCATAGAAAAAATGAGCAAATACACAAACCCTTCTTCTGAGTATGTAATCTTTGCTATCACATTCGTTCGAAGCCTTTACCTTAGCGGCAGATGACGCGATTGTACCTGTCCTCGCCTGTCTCAAACTGCTCGAATGAAGTGGTTAATTATAAGTCTATACACTAATCCAGCATTTATTTGTTCAGTATTTTTTTGTACTGCACGCAGAAAAATTTACCGTCGAAACAAAAATATTTGAGGTAAATTTAAACGTAAACTCAGTTTGTTCTGGCCACAAACATAAACTAGGTTGATTTCAAACGTATTCTATGTTTGAATTAATTGATAATAATGTTTAAAACAAAAATAATGTTACGTTTATTTTAAAAATATTCGTGTTGAAAATAAACGTGAATATTTTTGATTTATTTGAAAACTATATGCGATCAAAAATTAATATGTTTATTTTAAACATGCTTTTCATGTTTAAAATAAACAAACATATTTTGAAATTATTTGGCATTTGAATGCTGAATAAATCAAAATAAAATTGATAGCAAATAAATAGAAATTTCTGCTATTATGGAAAGTCTGTGGATGTTTGGATCCGGGGGGCCGTCGGGGTGGGTGTCCGATCAGATCCAGTTCAGTAAAACCGGTGAAACTTTGTGATATTAGCGTCATTTTTCGTTTCTGACGCTGGTCCTCATACCGGCCTCTTTCTAAGTTTAGTGTTCGGGGATGATCTGCTTTTCTTTCGACGTCGGGTGGGGGGTGAGGATGATATGGGGATCAGTATCAGAAACGACGGATTGACGTTAATATTGTGATGTTCCACCGGTTTTGTCGAGCTTGGAGCACTTGCTTGCGTTGGTTTCCGGACCCTCTACTTTGGTGTCGCCGCTTGCAGGCCGTTTTCGGTTAAGTTTGCCGAATGTAAACAAGAAGGAAAAAAGGACACGCTAAAAATTGATTACCCAGATTATGTATTGTTGAAATAAACATGCTTTTGAATTTAATTTAAACATACATATTTTTGTTGAAAACATGTTTTTAATTTACTTTGAACTATTCATATTTTTATTTAATAAACATATATATTTTTAACTTAAATGAAGAAAATTTGGTTCCGTGTGGGTTTACACCGTAAAACGAAAGATTTACTGAAAATTCAGTTTAAATCAGGTGAATAACTGACGTTCTGTAAAACACAAACTGAACTTCGGTATCGTTTGATGCAAAATACTGTACACAGATTATTTATTTACTGAGAAAGTCGTTAATTTCCAAATTTTCGTGATATCACGAAAAGTCAGTAAAAATCAGGGGGAACGACACTTCAGGATTATCCCATTTTTACCCAAACCTCTCATATAATTTTCAACGTTCACAAAATTTCAATCCATCCTATCTATTCTTTCTATTCCCAATTTATCCCTTCTGCATGCACACAAATTGTCAAGCAAGCCGTGCAGTTTTTCGAAGTTTTCAGGTCGACCGCGAAGCACTCTGCCAGACTCACTGTCAGTTTACAACACTCTCCACAACAAACACCACGTATGTCAGCTGGCCATACCGGTAAAAAATCGGTGCGAAAACTAAAAAAAGATGACGGACCACTCGTCTATAATCGGTCTCGGGGGCAAAAAACATCAAGTGCATCACGGAAGATTCGGCAACGCACATCCCGGACTCAAACCGATCGAATTCGACGGATAAGAGCCCGGGTCTCTGTGTGTTGTAGCATGGAAGTTGCCGAACAGGCGCGAAGCAACTGTTGATTTCGTTCAGCTGATTCTAGCCCCGGGAAAAGCCTTACCAATGAAACCCCCTACGACAAGCAGGTGGAAAAGGAATTCAGGTCATTTTTTCCACTCGGCCCAAGTTTTACTCGTCTCTGATGCTGGTCAAGGGTTAATGGTGAAGTAAGACACCCACCGGCTGATGTATTTCTGTGCGAGAATATTGCGAATCAAATTCCCGTCCAAATGCAGCTGGGAATATTAACCGGAACCTTGTAATCCATCGCCATCACCCGTTCCTCCTAGTTTGCAGTTTCGACCTATTCGGTGCGGAACTAGGGGCCAGACAGCTTTAAATCATGAGTAATTTTTAAGCAAATTTTGA